GAGTAAAAGTACAGATACCCCTTGCTAAATTTGACTCAAGTACAAGTAAAAGTACTACAGTCAGATGTCTACTTAAGTAAAAGTACCGAAGTACTTGGTTTTAAAAGTACTTGAGTATCAAGAGTACATTTTCTAACGTCCTACACGGAGAAACGTCCTACATGGAGTTATGAAAAATGTTAATGTTAAATTGAAAGTAAAATCAAGTAATTTTCATCTTTTTACCATGTTGCTTTATTTAACATTTAAGAAAATTTCAGAATATTCAGAAAATTGAAATAGTCTTAAAATAGTGAAACGGGTCGGCACATTCCCGGCCCGGGATCATGCTTCATCCATTGTTTTGTCCATGGTTTCGTCTCTTATCTAAATCTGACCATAGGCTAGACCATAGGATAGGCTGTCCCAATGGTGCCCGCACAATCCAATCACACTTGAGAGGGAAACAACAAATTGAGGGTTTCCGAGATTTTTCTTTTTTCCATTTTTCTTTTTTTTCTTCTTTTTTTTAGAAGTAGTAATGGGTACTCACGGTTATGGATAGAAATGTAGTGGAGTAAAGAGTACAATATTTCCCTCTCAAATGTACTTGAGTAAAATCATGAGTACTCCCCAAAAATGATACTCGAGGAAAGTACAGATCCCTCAAAATTGTACTTAAGTACTGTACTCAAGTAAATGTACTCCTCCATTACTGTCCGGCTCTGTACAGTGCATTCAATGCATTACATTAGAAAGGTTGTGTTAACTGCTATTTTTACTGTCACTCACCAAATTTGTGAAACATGGATACATCAAAATGCTTGGAGATTAAGAAAAGTAATTTGGTCAATTCCATTTGCCAGCGTTTGACATATTCCAACGGTAAAGGATGCTAATAGGGATTAGAAAGTGAAGAAAAAGGTGGGAAATAAAAGTTTTAAAGCACCCACATGAAAACAGACCAGGAGAGAGTAAGGATTTGGGGAGAGAAATGAAAGATTTCAAGTGTAGTGCAGTGGAACAATTCATGGGATATTGTTCATTAAATTGGGAGACCAAATCGTAAGACCACAGAGTAAAACAGAATAAAAAAACAAGACAAGAATCCAAAACACAGCACTTGGGTAAGACAAAAAGAGCTTTTGCCACAGGCGTTCTTGTGATATGAATGTTATATTAAAATCACCAAACAATGTTTCTCACACTACTTGTCTTGCATACTGTAGTTATAGCTGTCCCTGACCATCCTCAAAATGGGGTTTCAGTGATACGATCACAATGTGTCCCGGGTGTATTCAGTGAGGTCAAATGCTATCCGATTATGATCCGATCACCGAAAACACACTTTAATGCCAGGTGCAGAGGGGCCAAAAGTCCAATCAAATGTGATGACAGTGAGTAATGGAGAAAGAGCCACGTAAATGTCAAGTCAATCTAATTCGCATCACCAATTTTTCTCAAAGGAACATTAAAAATACTTTGTTAAAAACAAAAAAAATTAAAAACCCCACACCCATTTGTTAAATTGATCACCTTTGCCCAGTGCCTGCAGATTTTTGCTTTCCAAAAGAGACTGTTTGGTGAACTAGTGTTCACAGACAATGGTCATGAAGGTTTTAGAAATTAAACAAAAGAGACACATTTACCTCACAAAAGCATAAGTTTGCATTGTCACGTTTGAGAGAGTGTGCTCACTGAAGGAAAAATATCAACTACTATACAGTGACGGCACAGCACAATGCTGAGAAACTCATGGCCGTTTATCAATTTACGCAACCATTTCACCGAGTTGTATGCACTAAAAAAACAACAACATTCTGTGAGATTGTTTTCATTATAGTCAACATGTGCTAAACACATCCTTAAGAGTTATTATCTTTCACACTAATGAATTCCCATTGAGACATTGGGAAAACAAAGACTGACTGAGTGTGATGCTTTGACATGCATTTTTTATATCTACAGAAGAGAATCTATCTCTGACTATTGCAACCAAGGCCATTAGCTATATTGGGGTCATTTGGCAATTGGTAGGGCTTAAATAATGCAGTTTTAAACATGTGGTTCGATCTCTGAGTGTATCTGACTCTAACGTCATTAGCAGAGTGCATGCCAACGCCAACGTTTCATGAAAGTGCACTTTTTCTTAATGAAAATTTAATCTCTTAAGCATAATGTCAGTTAATATTCTAATTCTGCTGTTAAGGATTACATTCAAACGTACACTTTACGTGGAGCATAAAACAATGAGAAATAAAATATTCAGGCCAATAAAGAACTAATGGAATTGAGACTCATGAGCCAGCTCTCTTTTAGTGGGAGTACTGGGTCAGTGTAGATAGTGACAATGAAAACACCTGTTTTGAGGGTTCATTTTGGAGAAAGTTCATCCAAAAATTCTGTCATTATGTATTCATCTTCATGTCATCCCAGACCTGTTAAAATATTTTGTCTTCAGCAGAAGCAATTTTAAAATGTTTTTATCCCTACAAGCAATTTGAAAATGTTTTTATCCCTACAAAGAAAGTCATTGGTGTCCAAAATAACATTGGATCGCAATGAGTTTTACTGTAGGGACAAATAATCTTGTCTTTCACAGAAGAAAGAAACGCATACAGTTTGGAACAAACTTAGGCCGTGTGTCCACCAAAGCGTTTTTGCACGAGCCTGGCATATGTTTTCAATTGTTTTCAATGGGACCGCCGCGTTTTTTAAACACCACCATGAGCGTAACGAGGCGGAGTGTTTTTTTCACGCTGAAGTGCTGAGCGCCCAGCGTTTTTACTGGTCGCCGGGGTTCAACTTTGGATAAAAAGCAGTGCTCGTCACTGTCACTTTTTACCCAGCCGTCCAATCACAGTGGAGGAGGGGCGGGACTAATACCACACTGACCAACTGTCACAACATTCTTTCTGTACAACAACATCAACCAGCAGAGCTAACCAAACAAAATGGATGAAAAAAAAATTTTTTTTTAGTATGAAACAAATTATCTGTGAAATCAGTTAAGTAAACTGTGCTGCCAACATGACATCATGACTTTTGCGCAAACATACACGCCACTTTCGAGTCAAGTGGCGTGTTATCTCTACGCATTTTGAGCTATCCGCGTGTATCCGCGTGTATGCGTGTATGTCTACGCCATTAAGGTCCGAGTGATTCCGCGTGTCTGTACACGCAGTCAAATGTCCGTGAGAAACGAAGCAAAATGTAGATCTACATCTGGGGAGCGATCTTTTTATTCCCTAGGATGGTAAGGGAACAGTCATAAATGCCATTAACACCAGTGACGGTTAGGTTTAGGGACGGGGTTGAGGTAAGTCATATCTTTTTTTTTTCCTAGGATGGTAAGGGAACACTCAAATGCCATTAACCCCAGTGACGGTTAGGTTTAGGGACGGGGTTGATATAAGTCATATACTGTATTAATATAATAACGTTAAGTCAACGGCGTTCATAAACACGCTGAAAAGCGATTATGCGTCTTAATAGCACGCCAAAAATGGAAATACGAATTGCCGTGTCATACACACGTTACTTCATGAGATCAGTCTGGTGCTGCAGAGATTCTGTATCATAGCAACGAAACGTATCAACGGAAAAAACGCTGCGCTGCCAAAACGCTCTCAAGCGCCCAAAGCACGGCGTCTTCAGCTGGCTAAAAACGTTTTGGTGGACACACGGCCTTAAGGTGAGAAAATGATGACCAAAGTTTTGTGTGAACTCTCCCATTAAGAAATGCTACCAAATATTTCAAATTTAATCCCTCATTTCATCCAAAAAAACAACAACAAAAAAACAATGAATTTTGACAAGCTAAACGTCTTAGCGGAAATGGAGTAATGGCCTTTACCTCCTTTATTTTCACCTTGCCACAGAGGACCTGTAATGGGAGCTCATCCATGCTATTAAAGAGCATTTCACTATGCTAAATACCCTTTGTAGATGCCAAAAGCACTCAATCACCTTGATGTTGGCAGACGTACAGTACAGTAAATGACCCAGGCGGTTCCATCGGGGGAGAAGTAGTTAATTCTGTGACTATAGTAGTCGGCTAGGGATCCTGCATGTCTAGGATGCAGAGACAACAAAACAAATCTGTGGGAATAATCTAAGAAACACTTTCAATCGATATTAGGTATAAAATATGAGGGAGGAAATCATACGCTAGGCTAAAAATAGAGCGAAATGATAGGTTTCTTCATGCTGAGGAGAAAATCAAACACTGCACTTTGATTAGTACTCCACACCTTGTCTCTGAGGTTGAGGTCCTCCATTAAATATTAATGTGTCCCTGAATCCACCTTTGCTTCATCAATAGTTATTGACCAATATTATAACAGCAATTTAGGCCCAGGCAATGATGACCAGCGCTTGCATTTGCAATCTCTACAGATGTGGAGATGTGCGTGTTGTGGAGGAATTGCTTGCCATTTCTCATTACGAGCACAGTAGGGTAGGTTTCCTTTTCATTAGCGATGAGGAAAATAAGAACGAAGTAACTCTGGTGGGAGGAGAAAATGCAGCTTTCTGGTCTATTCTGGGTTTCCCGCATCACAGACTGTCGGTCTTCAGTAGAACGTGAAAGATCCTGGAATTTTCATCTCAGCTGGGCCTTTGATATGCTTCATTTAAAACAACTTTTCCATCTGCCACTTTTAAGACTATCACTATTTTTTCTTGTTGTTTTTTTCCCCCTCATTTGTTTATCTTGTTAGCCCACTTTTATTATTGACTCGGCGGCCACTGAAACAGAAAAACACTAAGCATTTCAAACAGACTGCTCAAAGCAATTGCATCTCATTTTAAGAGCGATAGCTCTTTGAAAATGCTTCACAGAAAAACTTCAGACTCCAAAACAATGACCTATTTGAGTACCATCTTCTCTCATTTCCTCTGCAACACATGTATTAAAGATTGGTGAAAACTGTGTTTTCTCGGCGATGACTATAACGGCATGTGTGAAAACTACCACCATGACAACAATTAACCAGTGGAGAGTAAAGCTTGCTACTTACGAATCAGAGGCACACTGGCATTGGCTGTTCCCAGCCTGTTGACAGCCACACAGGTGTAGTTGCCATAGCGATCCTGTGTCATGTTCTTGACTGTGAGAACTGATCTGGAGCTGAGGTTCTTGATGTCTATTCCTTGGCCCATGTTAATCCTGGAAATGAGACCATCAGTTGACATGACATGTCAAGCAGGGACAATGGTGTGCTGCAGTGTGACATGCTAACAATCCATCCATCAAAAACTGTTTTAAAGCAACACCAAGCAAGTTTTCCTCTGCGGTCGCCCTACAGGTTGGAAGCGGAATTGTCCATTACTACTGTTGTAAATAATTTAGCCTACCACATCCTACCGTCGCACGCGCACACATGCTCTCTGTTTATCCAGCACCGGCTTTGGAATCAACAATGACCACAGACGAGGTAGAGTATGATGCATGGTTTTATGAAAGTGTTGTTGTAGTCTACTGTCGGGTACGCTCCACCTATCGGCAATTGTAACGTTTGCAGTAAAGCATGTCAAATTTATAGTTTTCTTACGTCTCGGACTAAAGAAATGCGACCCGATCTGGCAATCTTACATACAGCGTGGATATATCAGATAAAGGAGTGCAAAGCCGTGGCATAAGTGCATTTCACCATGTCACAACTTGATGAAACACTGAAATGATTTTGAAAACATTATTTTAAGGTAAAAACTTACTTAGTGTTGCTTTAAGAGCCCCTTCTCTTTTCATTTATACATGCTGAGAGACTACATGGAATATTATGTACTTTTAAAAATTAATTTGAAGCAAACTGCAAAAAATGGTTGATTAAAATTGTGCAAAAGTAACCCTACACTGTAAAAAATGATTGCTACTAGCAATTTCTAAATGTGAACATTTTTTACTAATATTTTCAGTCTCAAATATTATTTTTTAAACACTTTTATTCAGCAAGGATCCATTACATAGATCAAAAGTGACAGTAAATAATTTTGTATTGTTATAAAAGATTCAAGGAAAAAAAAATCAGTTTCTACAAAAATATTAAGCAGCACAGGTATATATTCAAACATAAAAGTGTTAATTGACTTAACACATTTCAGCTTAAGAACCATATACTGTAGATAAACCATTTGTCTATATTGATTTGTTTAAAATCTACTTTTTTTCTACTTTACTTTATTTCTACTAAACTATTTTATGCTTTATACTATGTTTTATTGTTCTAACAATTTTCTCAGTTTGGAACCCCAAACAGAAAAACAATAAAGTCAGAACATGTGGCATAAACATGAATAATTCCTGAAAAGGTAAAGTAATTAGTACCAAAAATAAAGGTGAAATCTATTCAAAGATAAATATAAAAAATGGTCACGGTTATGGAGGACTTTAACACACTGATTTCTTGTGAATGTCTTTCACATCACCCATCTAAGTTTTCAGTTTTTGACACATATTAATGTTTCTTACACCAAAAGATGGCAGGTAGATATATTATAGGCTGTGAGTTATGAAGGAAAATGTAAAAAGATGTTACAATTGTCCCTGATCCTGAGGGAATTGCCAAAAGGAAAATCAGAAGCAGAAAAATTTGCACATGGCTTGTAGCTTTGTCGAGGTCTTAAGTTCAGCAGCAGTTGCTCTTGAGTCCTGACTCTGGGTCATCCATGTTACTCTCACAGGTAAATGTGCTGACCTTTTGTCCCACAACTCTCCAATAGCTTGTCTCCTGCTGACACTTACTTGAACAAAAACTTTTCTTAAAACAAAAGACCTTAGCTACCACCGCACCTGAGTGCTATGATACACAAAAAGGATTGTACTAATATATCAATCTGTTATATGGACCAATAGTTATTTTCTCTCCTACATGGAAACCTCTCTCAATTAGTAAATGACTATACTGTTAAAGGTTTAAATTAACAACAGAGCCATTATATTCAACTGCTATTTATTTTCAGATATAATACACTCAAATATACACCTTTGTAATAATTTATGTACATTTTAGACATTGACTTATGTAGCTGTTTGTTTATTTTGTATGAATCAAATCCAGAGAGGAAAGTGTACTTTTTGTATATATAACCCCCTCCCAAATAATGCCTTTATTCAAGAATCTCTTCTCCTCCATGTCAGTCTGCTAAGCTGTTAGAGAACAATGGCATTGAGGATCAGTCTACAGGGACAGAAAGCTCTCGGATTTCATCAAAAAAATATCTTAATTTGTGCTCCAAAAATGAATGAAGGTCTCACTGGTTTGGAGTGATATGAGGGTTAGTAATCAATGACATAATTTTAATTTTTGGGTGAACTAACCATCTTAGAGTGCCAAAAGACCATTTATGGTTTGAATTTTGTGATTAAATGGACAGAATTTAAAAGCTGACACTTTGTTTCTTATCAGAAGTAACAATGCACAAAGCTCTTTGCAATCATTATATGGTAGGCATGATATAAATATGAAAAACTACAGGTGATTCATTGGGTCAAATAAAAAATTTTGAACTGTTCATGTGTTATTCACCACATTCAAGGAGTACTACATTCACCATGTTGTCATTATCATGTGACCTACCAGTGTCAATTGTGCCGCTTCACTGCCATTCATAAATCCTCTCCTGGAGCCTCATAAAATAATAAAGAGTCCATCATACGAAGTAGTATGTCATACGGGTCATTTTTGCCTACTCTTTTATGAGTACTGTGAATTTAGACATCTTTTTTTGTCACATACTGTTTTACTATATAGTAGGGAAGTATGCGATTTAGGATGAAGCCACAGTATGATTTGCAGTCTGACATGTTTTTCCACACCCTTTTGATTGACAGGATATAATAGGCCCAGATCATTGGCTGTTTTTAAACAATCGGTCAATGGCAGATAGTGAAAATAATTGCTTTTATACATCTGTGCATGCCTACTTAAAAGCAATTACATATTGCAACTGGGAAGTGGAATGTTTAAGGGAATCACAATTTCGCAAGTGCTTTCCATCACAAAGGAACATCATTGAGACCCAACTACCTTTATATTTCTATATATGAAGAGTTCAGATGCAAAAGCCTCTAAATGCCATTTGAAATTTTCTTCTTTAATGATGATTTTTATCAAACTTGTATATTTAAGTTCAGTAATTTCACTTATATGGCAATGATAAATACCTATTAATTGTTATTTAAATGAAATTACTGAACTTAAATATACAAGTTTGATAAAAATCATCATTAAAGAAGAAAATTTCAAATGGCATTTAGAGGCTTTTGCATCTGAACTCTTCATATATATATATACCTCATAAAAATATGATTATCACTTTCCATGATTATCTAATTTATCTAAAAGTAGTTCATGATATGTATGCATTATTCCTATTGGTTTAATCAATATTACTTGAATGGCTCAATGCTACTTGAATGGTTTCTCTTTCACTATTTTCCTGCACCTCACTACCATTAGTTCTGAAAAATACAGTAAACCAGACAGTTTAGCAACAATGTTCAATGTAAAGCCTTAGATTAAGCAGAGTACAAACCCAATGCCAATAAGCCTCCTTTGCAATTTGAATAAATCGAGTGAAGCCTATAATTACAATTAGCACAGTGTGAACTGCTGATTCAGATCGTACTCAGCAAGAGTGGGTAAATGATGGGTAATGGGGTAATTTGGTTTTTAAATTCAAGAACCACCACTTGAGTCATCACTGATTGGTGCGAAGACTTGGAATGTTCTTTACTAGTAATGAGGTTATACAAACATACAATTAAATGTAGGGTTAAGATAGTATAACATCTTCTTCCTAACATACTTTAGGTTTATGGCTAGTTTAATGTGAATGTATACATATTGTGTTTTCAGAAGTAAACTTGTATCAAAGGAAATAATATAAGATGACTCTTTTGAACAAAGCTCCAATCTCCTTCCATCACATTTGGCAGTTTGTAAACAATCAATCATTATAGTGAACCATAGAATCATCCCTCAAAACTTTTTTATTCATTTACACATTACACTATTTATTCAGCTAGACTCCATACAAAAATGGTTTGTGCCTTAAGTGTGCTATCTATTTTTAGTTTTTGTAGAAGTATACTTTATGAAATTTTTAATTCAATTCTGAAAATCTCCAACTGTGGAAGAATTGGAGATATAAAAAAAATATTCACATCTTCAATACAGTAGAAAAAAAAATGCTGGTGCACAGCCACAAAATGTTTACAGAAAATGACAAAAATCCTAAAATAAAACTCTGACACTTCCAGAGAAAGGTCGAAGCGGCAATAAATTGGAACAGTTAGCAGTGTCCCCGTGTTTTTCAGTGTGCTTGCAGTGATGAATATTTGCATACTTAATTGCAATTGGCATTCTTTCATGCATTCATTTGCATATTGTATTGTGATTGGTCATATCTCTCTACTTAACATTCTGTAGCCCTCATTATACCGAAAAAAGAGAAAGACACATTATGTGTTGTGCACAGTTGACTAGACATGTCATGACAACTGAAGAGTTAAAGATGTGATTTGACATTTCATTGACATTAGAACCAAAGCCTATAGCAAAGCATACCTAAAATATTCATTCAATACCTTGTAAACACTAAACACAAAAAGATGTCTTGGCTGATCAGTCACCAAATGTTATATTTTGAGTTCTTTAGACTATTTTTGCCAGAAGTGTATGACTTTAATTAAAAGTTAAAAATGATGGTTAAGTGGCAAAAGTGATTTTCATGAGCTTATGCTGTGCATAAGACTCACTATCTTTTGGAATTAAGACTCTTTAATAAGACATTTTGTAATATTTGATAAGTTGCAGATCCATAGCTATTAAACTAACACTACTAAAGACTGTAATTCAGCTTTCAGTGATTAAACCTTAGGCAAAACTCTCAAAACTGGTGTACAGTTTGATTGTACAGTAATTATTCTGTGGATTCAACAAATGTAGTGACTGCATGAATACTTGTCAGAATATTACATCTTTTTGCAAAGGCACACTTGCCACAAAAAGCGGTCCATCATTAATCTTCTCTGTAGTGAGCATTCTGAATCACAAATAAACTCACTTAACATGCATAATGTATGATAAAAGATCACTGTACAGCTAAGCTAATGAAATGAATACTTTTATCATCTATCACTCTTGGTTTTACCTTTTCTCTCCCTTGTACCACTCAAAGACTGGAGAGGGGACAGCTGCTGCCTCACATCTCAGCAGGGCAATCTGACCGGGTCGAACCCCGTGACTTTTCATCTCATGGATTGCTGGAGGAACTACAGAAAGAAAATAAAAACCAACGTGATTTAGGGCAAGAGTGAACACACATAAGCGAACTCAAATAAACTAACCCTTCAAGCCTGAGAGGAAAGGCCTTCGGAAAAAATGCTAAGTTTTCATTTACAGTCACGTGAAAAGAGGCAGAAATGAATTAGCAACAAGATTCAGAGTGGTCAATGCGTGTAAATCTTATGGGTGCAATGCTGAGAAATACCGTTTGTCCCAAGGGTTAGAGAAAAGAAATTAACTGCTCAGTGATAAATTGTTTAATGGCTGTTCAAAGGCTGTGGAGCTGAGGAAGGTTCTCTGAATATGTGCATGTAAAATGAGGGTCCTTTCATGTTCACAAAAGCAGTGTAAATCTCTCTAGCGGCATCAGTGAGCAAGCTTTAACTACAGGCTGAATTTTTAGTCAAGAAGCAAAAAAAATAAATAAATGTTTATCATACATAAACCTATTGTATATTATTTCTTAAAGCATGAGTCAGGCATGTGATTGGCTAAGGACAAAAAAGCAGGAAAATATACGAAGCCCGAACACCACACGCCCCCCCTCCCCCCCCGATCGATATATATCCCAATATCTTTTCCGCAAAGCGAGAGTAAATGTTCAATCAAAGTCAAATATAGTCTTCACTATATAAATTATACATTGATTCTTATTAAAGCTACTATTAAAGTTCTCAGTCAAGAGCAGCGAGTGATTTCCTTTGTGTTTTGTTGTTTAATTAACATTAAATAGATAGTTCTCCCAAAAATTGTAATTGTCATAATTTACTCTCTCAAGTTGTTTTAAACCTGAATAAGTTTCTTTCTTCTGTTTAAATTATTTGGAAGAATGTGGGTAACCAAACAGTTGATGTACCCCAGTGATTTCCATAGTAAATTTTTCCCTATGGAAGTCAATGGGGACCAACAACTGTCTGGTTACCCATTCTTCAAAATATCTTCTTTTTTGTTCAGCACAAGAAATAAATGAATACAGGTTTGGAACAACATTACAGTGAATAAATAATGACAGAATTTTTATTTTGGGGTCAACTATCCCTTTAAGAACAAGCGGCTGCATTTTTATTATTAGGGCTACTGTCACTTTAAGACCTGTACGCGACACGTCTAATATACACGGAGCATTTGACAAGCAGATTTCTCTCAATTTTCTCGGTTTGCTTTGAGTTTAGACATAACCAAATGTTCTTATGTAAACCTTGTGTGTATTTGAGAGTATTAGCGAAATAATACTCGAAAGATAACTTAGTCCAACAACCAGGCGCTGTTAGACAAGCTTTTAGTGCATGTGCACGTCGGGTGTTCACGCTCAGAACAGCGCATCAGCAGTGAATGACATGTTTAACCGGCAAGGCTTTAATTAAAGCACATGCAAATTAACTTTTGTGAACTCGCTGAACTGATGTAGCCGTTCCTCTGCGTTAATATTGCGAGTATTTGTCGCGTTGTACACTAATGCTGTTGAGACGGAGGTGTCAGGACTGCAACTGACAGAATGCACGATATAGCTGCTACATATTTCTACAAAAGCAGTCAGCAGCTTGCTTGGAGCAATGGATCATAGCGCAAATTTGAAATATATCGATATATCGCCTAGCCCTGGTGACCTAACTGTGATGTTGTCAACTGACAACGATACATTACCAGCGCGAGAGCGACTAGAGATACGAAATTGAGCAGGTGAACAAGCTGAACCAATTAGACATTCTCTGGCTGAACGCAAATTTATCCTTGTTGATACTTTGGAAGGAACCTTCTGTACGCACGTCAGCCAGTTATGGGTTATGTCATTATATTCTCTCCTTTTCATTCCGGCTGCCGACACCCGTTTTTTTTTTTTTTTTTTTTTACAGATCTGCATGATTCACGTAGGTCACATTTTCAGGTCGGAAAATCCGGAATTCCGGATTAATCCGGAAAAATCACATCCCTGATGAGTAAATGAGTAAGCTTCTAGAATGACATGAGATCAAACTCAAAAGGACATATAGAAAAAGGCTATAAAAGAAATGACACCATACTTAATATACACACAAATAAAGCAGGCCTGAACAGAATACTAAGTCGAACACGAAATAGAAAAAAATAAGAAAATAACTCCCTTCAAGCAGGTGATCCACTTATGTCTTTCTAGCTAGCGTTAAATTACTTGCTATGTCTGAATTTGAGTGGGGGACATTCATATTCCAGGCAGCTCGTTCTTTGAAAATCACCTGCAAGTTATTGAGGTCTGTGTTCAGACTATTTTTTCCTGATTGAATTTTTGACATTCTCTTCTATAGCCCCACAGTTGAAGGTATGAAGTTCTCCAGGCCTTCTGTGTAATACGTTTCATGTAATCTGAGAGCTGAAAAGAAATTTCCACTATTGTGGTGATAACAGAAACAAGTGATGTTCTTAGACTTTGGGCTCCATAGTTAGCTTCACACAGATATAGGTCACATCATTTAACAAATATGAAGTCATGAGCTTCCCTACACTGTACACGAACATAACAGGAAAAATTATTTGCAACATTTAAAAAAAAATCAAAGCATCTACCAGTAGTGTTAGGGGACACTAGTGTTCCTTAGTATGAGAAGGAAAAAACTCACTATTTGTATGGTTGATGACTCAATGTGAGGGAGAAACTTTAGTCAATGAAGATTAGAAAAGACTGTATAGTATTTATAAAAACATCTGTTCTAAATTAGATCATGTTTTTTTTTTTAACAGGGACTCATATTTGTATATTAGGTATCAATGACTTAAACTAGGCTAAACAATATCCACTAAAGAAATGTTAATTTTTTTTACTCAGGCCAAGAAATCATAATGTTCAAATATCTAAGTTTTCATGGCTGCGATAACTGTGTATAAAGAATAAGAATATCCATCACTATAATCTCTGCGTTGAGATATTTTGTTCTGTGAAACTGTGCTGCTCATCATTTCTTCATTCCACAATCTCCTGGGAGGGAATGAAAATAGCAATGTGACACATCAACACAGCTTGAATGCAGATTTTTTGGCATATATTGGAAGAGAAGTCTGTCTGATCCAAATAAATGGCAATGGATGAATCTTGTGCTTTGGCTGGATCATGCATTTACAGTACAGGCATCACCCCATCAAAATGCCTAGGGAGCATTACATAACTTGAGCATCACAGAAGCACACTAGCATAAAATATAAGGATAAGATAACATAAAATAAGAGATTAAAGGCACACATTGCTTATGACAAAGCCGAGGACAAATGACTTCTGAGCCCATGAGGACATGGCTGAGAATAGATAATTTCAAATAAAAATGTTGTTCTCAACCCATTTTACTCCGTAATCTGATGTACCCGTACAGTATGTCTGAGTGAAACATGATATTCAAAGAAAAGTAATGGGTGTTAGATAGTGGAAACTGGGGCACATGTGTTTTACGCTGTAAAAAATGATTTTTTGGTGAAGTAAATACTAGTGAAAAAAACAATGTAATTTAATTGAAAAAGTCATTTCAGGCAAGAATTAAAAAAAAAAACTAAGTAAATTCCATATCAGTACTTACAATTCAAGCGAGTAGAAATGAAAGTGTAAATATCAACTCAATAAAATTAAGTAAAAATTACTCAACTTTTCTGATACTGGGGTTCCAGCTGTATTTACACTGTTTTATCATTGATTTTTGTTGTCAGTGTTAGTAACTTGCCATTTTGTGACATTTCGAGTAAATTTTTTGCTCAAAATGACACATTCAAACACAAAAACGACCCATCAAATGTTACTGCCAGTTACAGTCTACCAAGTATTGAGGTGTTTGCATTCACATAATGCTTAACATCTGACATGATGTAATATAAATTGATGATATAAGTAAAGCACATACTATAAATGACTAATACAAAGGCAAAGGAAATCGATATTAATCAATCTTTTACTAGCCGAGTTAAAATTAATTATTTTCTGTGAAGTTTCCTTAATTCCATATTCCAAGTAAATTTAACTTAAAGATTTCTAATTAAAGCTACTGCTAAATATGTTTAGGTTTTTACTTGGCAAATCTTTGTAAATTTACTAGCATTTTTTGAGTGAAAAAAATTAGCAAGCTTTTTTCAAGTAAATCCTACTCCAAGTTACACATATATTATACATGTAGTAGCATCAGGTGTCAAAATCAATTAATTATAATATGCAAACCCATATTTATAACCGCCAGTCTATGCAGATAAAATAATTTTCGCAATTCAAATCAGTGTCAGTCAGGTGGTATGAAAGTGTTCGGATTTGTGAAGGCATTTTTTTTTAACAGAAAACAGAATGACTAGCTCTCTTCTCTTCAAACATTTGCCACACTACCTGACATTTGAGTTGGGATACAGTCGCAATATTTCACACCTTCTCTGGCCCGTTAATCAGTGTGAGCTTACTGTAAATGGATTTGGATGCTATAATATGGTTTTCAGAGGCAGAATCAGAAAATTCTCTGCATATAGAGCCAACGCGAGAGAATCCAAGAGTGCTCTTACTAGAAACATCTATGCGTCTGTTATGTGTGTACATGCTTTAAATCTGCAAAAACACCTCCATATTGGAGGTTACACAAGTGGATTTCAAGTTAATTCAGCTTATGTGTTTTGCACATAAAAACAGAGATTTGAGAGCGGCTGAAATCTGCTGAGAGTGAGATATGGTATGTATCTGTCTGTGTCATTCATCACTGAGATTTGTGCTGTATTGTAAGCTATTGGCATGCCTTGGCAGGCTGCCTAATAGCACAAGAGAAGCTGGCTCTGATATTTATCCACACAGCTAACTTCTCGTATCTAACAAACCATTGCATCTGTCCTCACTGAGGGATGATCCAGTTCATTATAAAGCTGCATTAGCAAGACCTACCCAGGGAGGAAAACAAAGCATTAGCTACAACTGCAACCACAACTTTTCATATTAATTAAAATCGTTTGAGCACATATACTGCAGTGAGAAAGGGTCCGGAGGGACAGAATTCATGAAAGT